GCTGGGCCGGCTGTGCGCGCTGACTCGGGCTCCCAGGCAGCCAGCGCGAGCGGGCCAAGGCCGCCCCGGCTACCGCCGAGCAACAGCAGAACCAGCTTGCGGCGAGGCTTCGCGCCCCTTGCGCCTTCACGCAGCTCCTCCCCAGCTCGGTGCATGGAGACGCGGCCCGCCGCCAGTCTCTGAGCCCCGCCGCGCGGGCCGGGACCTGCCGGGGCAGGGGTGGGCTGGGGGTCCGGCAGGCTCCGACGACGCTGGATTGGGGCTTACTCCGGCCGCCTCCGCCGCCGAGGTCTGCGCACGGACAGCGGGCCTGGTCGCCGGCGCAGATCGCCTCGGCCGCCGCGGCCCGGCCGTCCCGTCCCAGGAAGTGGTCGTCCTGACCGCCATGGCTCACTCCCCGGTGCAGTCGGGCCTGCCCGGCATGCAGGTAAGCGGGAGCCCCGGGCCTCCGAGGGACGGGATGCGGGGGCTCGGGCGGAAGCAGGGAACTTGGCGGTGTAAACACAGCCCCCCCACGCTCAGTCTTCCGGGGTCGCGCCCGGAGCCTCCTTGGCCGCGCTCCCCGTAGCTCTGCGCACGCGACCCGGCCGAGTGGGAGGTAGCCCCCGGAACACACAGGCGCCCCGCCAGCCCTGGCGGCTGGCTGCGAGTGGCGGCTAGGGACCCGCATCCCCCCTGCCCCTCGCCGCGGCCAGTTTCTCGGTGGGGGAGGGGCGGTGATGACCGGGGCCTGGGTCCGGCCGGGGGTCCGCGGTGCGGGCGCCCCCATAGCTGGGAATTGCAGTTGTTAGGGACACATGTAGGGGAACCGGCTTTGGGTTGCGCGCCGCCTCACCCTGCCCGCTCCCCTCTCCCCCCAACTCTGCCTGAGCTGCAGGCCCAGCGTTAGCCGCATCCCCGGGGAGAACTGATGTCAAGAAATGCCCTTGGAGGGCCCAGCGTGGTCTCTGGGCCCTGTATGGCGGCTAGGTGGTGGCGATCCCGCAAACCCCAGACCCTCACCGCGACGACCCCATCCTGCACGGTCTCCAGGCCTCCGGAGAGCCGGCGGTACACTGCGAGCGCGCCGGGACTCGCCCGCAGCCCTCGCTAGCCCTGCCTGTGTGCAGAGGCGAGAGCGGGTGTGGGAGAAGGTGTAACGGCGAGTTCCACTTCTAGAAGATTTGTTCGGAGCGTTTGGTTCTGGGGCAGATAGTCGGGAAAGTGCGAGCTAGTAAATCTCCAGGAAGAAGAAATCACACAATGTGTGTATCTGATGTCCCGAACCTGGTGGCTTACCTTCTGGATACCGAGACACTGGGCTTAAACTGTGAGACTTTTCTGGGCTTAGATGTACTATTTCCAGCAAACCTCGATATTTGGTGCTATCTATCTTGGCTAACACTATGAATCGGAAAATCGACTCGCCAGCACTTATAATAACTACATCTTCTTGGCCTGTAAGTGATATTTTGGGGAGAGAGTTGAATTTCAAATTTACATGAAGGCATTAAAGTTTTTTTTTGCCATTGGAGACACTTTTTTAGCCTTTTAAAAAACAGAATGACTATTCCTGGCGAACTTGGAAGTTTTATAAGTACACAAAGTGATGAGATGGCTAAGAGTGAATTCTCTAAATGTTGTCGTTAGGGTATGTCTTTAAGGTTTAGCTCTCCAGTTTAGCTAAGCGAAGAGCTGTAAGAACACCCACAGTTTCCTAGTGTATTATTTGTTGCCATACCTTTATCTGGGGTCCTGGTGGGGCGCTGTAGAATAAGCCTTGGACTGCTAACCACAAGGTCGATGGTTCAAACTCACTAGCCACTCCTCAGAAACCGTATACAGGGTAGCCATGGGTTGGAACCAACTCTACAGCACTTAACAACAGCAACAATTCAGTTATCCATGGACTCAGCTACTCATTATTTCTGACCTCTTGAAGCTGGAAGGCACAGCGCCCAGGACAACCTCTTCTCTGATGAGCCCCTGATCTATGTTCCTCTTCAGAGAGAAAGAGCCGTCCCCGCTTTTTTTTTTTTTAACGATTAGAAAGAAAACTGGGTTTCATTGTTCAGGTTTCAAGTCTAGACAAATAGTTACCACTTTAATATCATCTGTATCTTTAGCCAAGGTGGTGTCTTAAAACATTTTTTTTTTTTATTAAAGAAGTAGCAGTTAAAGTAGTTGGAAGAAAGTAGCAGTTAAAGATGCTGGAAGAAAGTTGGCCTTGAATCTCACTTAAAGTGCTTTGACATTTACCATGCATTTACAACCTAATGTGCTGTTCACCAACAGGTAGAAATCAGATGTGATTTCTTGATATTTCCTAAAACTTGGTTTGGTTTGGTTTTAATTGAGAGACAAGACCAAGGTGAACTGGGTGAAAATTTTTTCTGACTAGTACAATAAGGAGGATCTCTTGTAATGATTAACACCCCTTATGAAATATTTTATTACTTTTTCTTTTCCACTCACTTTTATAGTTCATGTCTTCATCACACTGTTGTTAAGTGCAGTCAAGTCAGTTTTGACCCTGTATCAGGCTGTAAACTAGAATAAATGCATGCCACCATACTGGAAAATGAATTCGTTGGAAAGATCCTTAGCCCTAGTGGCTGGTACTGAGATCTCAGTATCAAATGGTAGTTGGTTGCTATCTGGCCTCAACTTTTTTTATTCCCAAGAGTGCTGGCCAAAATTTTTAAATCTTAAGAGAAAAAGACAAGTTTCCTTTTAATAACTCAGCCTCCCCAAAAAGTATATTTTAAAGGTGATGTTACAACGATGCTGTTTTGTTTTCCCACGAAGGAGGAAACATTGTTCTCTATAGAGAAGATGACCATATTTTCAGCTCTTAAATCTTTAGAAGTGCTACAGTGGCATATGGCAGCCATTTCTGTACTTCAGTCCACAACCTTTAGGCTGGGAATAGTTTAGGAAGAGTACCATTTGGAGGAAGAACACTTGCCTCCGTCTGACAAAGAAGAGAGCAAACATATTTATTTTCTATTTGGGATTTACAGCTGCTACTACCCAGGAGTCCTGGTGTGGCGCTCTTGGGTAAGAGCTGGACTGCTAATGGCAAGGTCGGTGGTTCAAACCTACCAGCCACTCCTTAGAAATGTTCTACTGGGTTGCTGTGAGTGGGAACTGACTCCATGGCACTTAACAACTTACCCAGGGCGGTGTCCATAAGAGTGTTGTTGTTTAGTGCTGTGTAGTCGGTTCAGACTCAGTAGCAAGACTAGGAGCAACTAGTCAGCTTGAACCACTGACCTTGCAGTCCGGTGCATTAACCTGCAGCACCACACCAGGACGCCTTCCGTAAGAACAGTTGAGGATTAAATTATGGCACACCTGGCTGTGGCTGTTATGTCAGATAAAACAGGAGGACAGACGTACATAACCCTTCTGTGCACTGCCCTGCTAATGGGTCTTCTCCTAACCTTGTCATCTCTTCTCTTTACCACGGTTTATGAGGCATAGACAGCTGAAAAGAATAGTGAAGTGAATTGAAAGTGGTCTAGGCTAGGGTGCTTTAAAAACAAACATTTTAATATAAACACCATTTTTCAATGTCTTGGAAGTCATTTTTATGCCTTTGTGATACCTGTTGAGGTATAGGTTTGCCAATTTATAGATGTTGGAACTATAGCCTGATTTCAAGACCATCCCCTTCTCACTCAGCTGGATGGTTGATTTTGTATGTGTGTGTTTGTGTTTTTTTCCTTTAAATTTCATTTTGTTGTTGAGAATGTACACAGCAAAATCTAACACCAGTTCAGCAGTTTATACATTTACAGTTTAAGACATTGATTACTTTCTTAAATTTGTGCAGCCATCCTCCTCATCTTTTTCTGAATTTGTTCCTCTCATTAACATATCTGACCTCTTAAGGTTCCCATCTAAGTTGTGGAGTTGCTCCTCTCAGTTTGATCCCATGTAGTTCTTAAAAGAGCATAATGCTCATAGACAGGCCTTTTTTTTAAAATAGTTAAGCTAAACTTGTTTGATTTTAAAATAATTTCAGGAGACAATTTTGATATAAGGTTAGGGCTTAAGGGTTATCTCAAGGCAATAGATTCAGGGTTTCATTTACCCTCCATGATTAGAAAGGAAGGGTCTATGAGAATTTGAAATTCGGTTCTGTGTTTTCCTCCTTTAGAGATCAGGATTCTTCTACAGACTCATTGATTGAAATGCTCAGTAATGATTGTTGTTAAGTCCCATGGAGTCAGTTCCGACTCATAGTGACCCCACACGGGGGTTTCCGAGTCTGCAAATCTTTACGGGAGCAGATAGCCTCATCTTGCTCCCGCGGAACAGCTGGTAGTTTTGAACTGCTGACCTTGAGGTTAGCAGCCCGATTCGTAACCACTACGCTACCCGAGCTCCTTTCAGTAATGGTAGCTGGGCACTATTCGTGTCTTCTGGTCTCATAGCAAAGGAGGCAGTTGTTCATGGAGCCAGTTAGCCATATCCTATTCCTGACTCATCTCCTTTATCTGTTGCTTCAGGTGAATAGACACACCAACTATTGGTGTTGGATGGCTGCTTGCAAGCTTTTAAGACCCCAGGCACTATGATGGACTAGGAGGTAGAACAGAAGTGCTAAACACATTAGGCCAGTTACCTGAGGTGTGCTATGAAACGGACCCTAAGCCTCTAAACCAAGGAACCACACCCATGAGGTTGTACATAAGCAGCCTTAATAACTACTACTCCCTCTCCCTCTTTTTGTCATTGTAAGTACCACATAACTTTATGCAGTTCAGCTTTGTGCAGGTTTACATCTTATTCACAGCAATACTATAATCAGTTGTGCGGCCATATAATCCTTGTGATTTTTTCATCACCATTAAGCGCCTCTCTTCGTTCTCCCCTCCTCCCTTCCCTGGTAATCACTAACAAACTTTGGTGTTGTTAAGTGACCAATGTTTGCCTTTTCTTGTCTTTTGTATAAGTGAGGTCATAAAATATTTGCACGTTTTTGCGTTTGTGATTGACGTATGTCACTTTGCATGAACTCATCAAGTTCCACCCATATTGTAACAACTGTCAAGACTTCATTTCTCTTACTGGCTGAGTGGTATTCCTTTGTATGCATGTACCACATTTTGTTGATCCGTTTATCTGTTGATGGGCATTTAGGTTGTATCCACCTTTTGGCTATTGTGAATAGTTTCGCAATGAACGTTTTTGTGCAAGTCTGTTTTAGTCTCTGCTTTTAAGTCTGTTGAGTGGAATTTTGAATGGGATTGCTGGGTCATAAGTGGTTTTGTTTTTACTTTTTGAGGAACTGCCACACTGTTTTCTATAGTAGCTGTACGGTTTTGTGTTCTTGCTAGCCGTGGGTAAAGGTTCCAATTTTCACATTCTTGCCAGAATTGATTATTTCTGGTTGTTCTTTGGAGTTGTGTTAATCTTAGCCACCCAGGTGGGAGTTTA